GGAACTCTCGGCGGGACGCAGGCTCGGGAGACTGAGGTCGTCGCAGGTAATCGTCGATCTCTCGAGGGCGTTCACCACACCGGGGGGGCGGGTCGTTTGGGTGGAATCCGCGCAGCCCGGGTCGTCGGTATGGCCATCGGCGGTGTACATGGTCAGCTTCCCCGCAGTGGTAACACTGCCGGCGTCGGTCGGCCGTCCTCCAGACGTCTGTCTTCCGCGGCGCAGGTCGGTCTGGGTGAACGTGCGCCTGATTTTCCTGTCGTCGGGGGTACTGCGGCGTTGGGGCGTCTCTTCGGGTGGCGCCGTGGCTTGGAGGGGAGCTTGCGGCGGTCGTCGGACCGTGGCAGCGCAGCTCAACGTCGGTTCCTCCGGTGCCACCGTGGTGACGGCAGCTTCTTGTTGGAGCGCTCGATGTCCTTCTTCTCGGACAGCCTCGGCGATAGAAAGGGTTGGCGGACGGCTGGTGGTTGGCAGCAACCTTCGCAGTTCTCCCGGACGACCTACCGGATAATTTCGCAAATGTCTGTACCAGGAGCGGTTTCGCCGCTAAGCAGCCCGGTTGCAGTGACGATTGGATGCCGCTGGTAGTGGGAAGCGCGCGCTTGGAGGGCGCGCTCGATGTTTGTCGTCTCGGTGACGAAGGCGTCGACGGTTGCCGGCGGGTTGCGGACGAGGCCTCCGAATATGTCGTCTCTCACCCCGCGCAAGAGGATTCGTAGCTTCGTCTCTTCTGTAGCACGAGGGTCGGCGCGGGCGCCCAGGCGCAGAACATCCTCTACGAAGCCGGTGACGCTCTCGTTGGGGCCCTGGGTCCTGGTTCGCAGTAGGTCCTCGGCTCTCTCTCGGCGGTTGGGGTTGACGAATGTAGCCTTCAGATCAGTCTTGAAAATGTCCCACGACGTCAAAGAGGACTCATGGTTCTCGTACAAGTGCTTGGCGGTCCCCTTAAGGGAAAAATAGACGTTGTGCAGGCGCGGCTCGTCGGTACAGCCGTTATGGCGGGCAACGCGTTCATACTGGTCAATCCAGTCTTCGACGTCTTCGTAGAGTTCACCGTGGAAGGGGGCGGCCGTCCGCGGTGCGACGGGCATGTAGATGACGGGAGGAGCGGCGGGGGCTTGGGACTGGTTGGCCATCTTCGTCTTCTTCTGCCTCGGCTTGTCCGGCAGCAGATTCAATTCAGGGGATTGACCTCTGGTACGACGGCTTCTTCGGACTCCGGTGTCTTCGGCGAAGGGTAGCCCTCCGGGGCTGAGCACGTCCCTTGGCTGGGATGTCCTTGGAGGGGTACGATTAACGGGCATAGAATGAAGTACCCCGCAGCTCCACCAAATATTACGGGTGGTGACCAAAAGAACAATAAATAAACAGGAAGAAATGAACGTTTAATGTGGCGAACTTGTGCCGAAAACGAAAGGATACAAAAAATAATAACAGCGTCGAGGGCGTCGAAGTCGGCCTAACAGCAGAGTCGAACGTTGGCGCGAGTCTGACCCCGGTTCGCCACGCGGAGCCCCTTATGTACATGCGTAAGCTTCTGGAATAATCGGCGTTAAATATTCGACGCCTAGAACATTCGGACCTCGAACACGCAACAGGATTCTCAAATTTACCAGAAAACTAAATTTCAGGAATAACAAAAGACGCGGAAGGCAGGCACGATAACCGTTAGGCCACGCGCGCGCTGCCTCCTTGGCCAGCTGCTCGCGCGGCAGTATAGCATTATTTCCGGCTTTTAACGTATAGAAATAACAAATCCGAGGACGGCAACTCTCAAAGATAAACTCTGTACAGTACCTTCTGAGGTTTTTTTGTTTATCTCGGAGTTCTTTTATTTCGGAAAGCATAACGTTCAATTCCTAATATATCATGTGTACGGTAGCTAGTATACGTTTGCGAGAATGTGTCCCATGGAAGCTCTTGCAGCAGTATAAACGACAGTAGCGAGAACGCTCGCAATAACGTCCCCCGTAGACGCTGTCACTCCTTTATTATTATGGGCTCCGGGATTCTGCTCGACATCACCCGACATCATTAACATGGTACAGCTTAGTCTCGCGGACATGACAGTTGGAAACCAAGATCACACATGACGAAGGCGTCATAATCAAACATTGGCGAGCGATACCACTAAAAGAAAATAATTGCTAGAATGCCAGCAAGCTGAAGTTTTTAGATATCGAACCTATAGAAGAAAGGTGCGTGAGTGTTTTACCACGCCTGTGGTAGCGTACCTCGAATAACCGAAATCTGACGGTGGCTTTTGTAGTAGAGGCATGGTTGGCGACGACCAGTGTTGTCCACTGTAAAACTAAGAATCCGCCAAAACAGGTTCCGGGTGCTGTTGTTCGCCCGGAGCTGACTCGCGAAAGGCAGGCATGGCAATTCTCCATGAACACATCGCGACACTGTTGGCGCGAACACGACATCGGCGCATTTTCGCATTTTACTTCTGATAGTATTAGCGAGCACGGAATTTTATCGCTTACATTACATAACTAAATAAGTTCTTTCCGTAACAATTCTAACTTGGATAACATCCCTTGCTTTCAAAAAAAAAAGCTGGAAAAACCGGCGATCGCTTGTTCGCGCTAAGAGTGTCGCGCTCTGTACCTTCCAGCACATGGTCGTCGAGATTGCCGGCGTTGGAGAGAAGCAGAATCTGTAGCGGAAAGATTCGTGAGTGTTCCCTAATACCTATCGTCTTCTGCGAGTGAGTGTAAAACCAAGCTCAGATACTCTTTTTACCATATATCTATCACAATAAAATCTGGAAGGTCGAAATACTTTCAAAATATAGAGTTAAACTGCGTTGCACACAAATTATACTATTAAGTATAAACGGCGGTTTTTTATCTCAACCAGACAGGTACTAATTTTTCAGTCAGCAAAATACAAAGCTCCCCAAAAATGGTGTTGCTTGATTTGTTCGGCTTTAAGTTCAATATAGTGAATACATAAACTAATTACTGTACGCTCAATAGTAAAAACGTTTCCTTAAAAGAATGCTTCCAAATTTATAAATGGAACTTAGTAGTAACGAGCTGAATGATAAATTTGGTCTCAGTGTATTTGCGCTCAATTAGAATGTAATAAGATATGTTTGCCCCTTTTATAGTGTAGAGGGGTATAATATTTCTCTTAAAAAGGAAAACAAGAGTAGTTAGAAGATGTACGATGTTTAGGCGCTGCAGCACCATTTATTGAAACCGAATAAACCGAATTACGCGAAGCTGGCTTAATTAAAAGAGCGCAGTGGACGAAGGCTCATACCATGAAAACACTCCCTTTTTTCACAATTTAACCGGGCATTGCAGCGTTAAATGTCTTTATGGCGTTTCTTTCGGAATGTCACTTTTATCAGGATACATTTGCATTCATCTATTTTGTTGCTAAATTTTTATTTCCTTGCCTTTCTTTAGTTTTCGATTTTTGGCAGATGGTGTCTCCTGTATTAATTATAGAGTGATATATTCTTAATAAGAAAATAGCTGAATCTTGGTGCTCAGCAGCCGTTTCATTAAATATTGTTGCAATTACACAATCAAGGTTTTTCCTCTTTGCTGAACGTCCTTAGAGAAAAAGATTTTCTTTTGTGTTGATTCGTCGCTTTAAACGACTATCAAAGTGCAATTTACTGCTAACATGAAACCAGGAATTTGTGGCCCCAATGTTTAGGGTGGTCCCATATCTAATAAGGGGAAAGGGGGAGGGGCGCTGATTAATCAGGCACCTGATACACATTTTTTTTTGTAAATAACACTCTTAAGGTAAACCAAAAGTAAAGTTTAATGTTGCATATATGTGTTTATTTTAATACACTAGATCAGTAGTTCTCAACCATTGATGTCTTGCGGACCCCTTCTGGATCGGCGGAGATAATGGAGGACCCTGTTCGCGGCGAGGGGAAGGGAAAGGTATAGGTTAATTACGATAATGATTTAATAAGCGAACATAACTAAGGGGTGATGTGAAGTAGACTTCTCTAACTGACATACAAACGATGAAACTCACCTTAATCTTGGAACGTTTCTTTTCAATCGGATAAAAGACAAATTTTACTGCCAGGCTTCACTGACGAGGCAGGACTTCGCGGACCCCAAGAATTCATTCGCGGTCCCCAAATAGTCCGCGGACCCCCATTTGAGAGCCACCGCACTAGATGGAAGAGGAGGGACATTCCGCTGAAAGACAGAAATGTTCCAAGTCAGCTTGTTTTCTAAAATAAAGTACTGCAAATAAAAAACTGTTTCTACTGGGAGATGTTTTTCAAGCGCAGCGTGTGACTGTCTCCTGTTAGAGAGGGTTTGAAAACAAAATATTACAAGTTTTTACGCTCAAACATCGACTTGCCAACCAAACAAGAAGAAGTAAAATACGCTTCAAAGATATCAGAGCCACTGGAATGAAAACTGACACGGCACAGAACAGATTTCCCAAACGCGAAAAGTATGTACGGAGTTTCTTTCAGTTTTTGCACACCGTACTTCTTGTTTATGTGTTGATTTGCGTTATGTGGGCAACCCGCGATGGCCTGACTGCTGTGTGTCATCTCATGTACCTCCACCACACTGGCGCAGGGGAACAAACTCGACAGGGACTCTGACATAGCTTCCAATCGAGCGCCTTCTGTATCCCCCTCCCTTACCCCTTCCCCTAGGTCTAAACTTGCTAAACCTCCGGTTACAATTCTGCGAGAATTCGTAAATACTTTCACGCCTCGAAAACTCCCCAACATGAAAACAAACACAACAATTTAAAAAAAAAAAAAAGAAACACTATGATGCCGATCGTAAAATAAACTGAATGCAAGGTACGATCGACTTTATTTATGCTGATGTCTCCGTCTATACTACCCCCGACTTGAAAGCGTCAGAAATTTTACTAGTCCAAGTTTGTCGCTTAAACCGAGCATTTGTAATAGTATTTAGCTTGAAAGTGGCAATTTGCGTCTCTGCCCGAGGTAAAACCTCTCTCTAAGCCCGCTTTTCTCACTGTAGGTTCTGATAAATCCCAGAGACCTGGGTTGTGGCGCTTTGGAAATAATTAGAGAGAATCGGGTCGGGCGTCCTCCAGCTGGGACTCCGAGATGGCGCTCGGACCTATGCAGAACGTGGTATAAAGTCAGGAAAAACTAATTCGGCTCCACCGCTAGAAATACTGTCAAAAATAAAACGGTCGGTGTTTTAGGGCATGTTTATCTTGACACTCTAGAATTACCTCGATTCAGGTGGCGAATTACGCTAGAGGGTATTCAAGTTATTTTCCAAACTTAACGATGCTTTTCTATTTACTTTGTTACAAGTGTAGAAAAAATAAAGCTCAATTTTCCTTTTCGTTTTTGCTTGTCTTGGTTGCTGGACTTGTTGGAGGACGCAAATATCATGCGTCACTGTTCAGGCATTAAATTGGACCGTTTTATACGTTGGAAAAAATTTTTAACGTTAGATTTGTTTTTTGAATGTTTAGAAATTCGAAACTTATTATGTCCGAAGTAGCGTTTAATTTTCCCGCTATACCGGCGATTTTATTTTTGATTCTAACAGATTTGTTCCAAATAATGCTTAAAAAATTCACCTATGCGGTTTGTACAGGTGAGTTATTCGGCCAAGGAGACATTACGTGGGTGGTTAATCTTTGCGATAAGTCGGCTAATTAACTAGAATTCGTTAACTAACTTTTTATTTAGTGAAAATAAACTTATAGCTTGAATTAGAAGCTTAGAGAACGTTATCGAAAACCACTAAATAATTCCTTTCTAGAACGACTTGAAGCTCGTGGCGAAACTCGGGGGCGCGCCAAAGTTACCAGTCGTGAAGCAGGCACAAAGCGAGCAGTTGTGGAAAGCGAAAATAATCTAATCATCTGCGTACCGCCACTGCTGGCTTGCGCCTGCTTCATGAGTAGCAACTTTGGCGCGCCCCCGAGTTTCCCACGGGCTTCAAGTCGTTCTAAAAAGGATTTATTTAGTGGTTTTTGAAAACGTTCTCTAAGCTTCTAATTGAAACTATGTGTTTATTTTCACTAATTCAAAAGTTAATTAACGAATTCTAGTTAATTAGCCGACCTATTGCAAAGATTAACCACCCACGTAATGTCTCCTTGGCCGTATAACTCACCTGCACAAACCGCATAAGTGAATTTTTTAAGGATTATTTGGAACAAATCTGTTCGAAATAAAAAAAAAATCACCCGGTATCTGAGCAGCTCTGCCAATGGAAATGGAGTGCTAATTTTGGGGCTTTGACCTGTGATGGTATTCAGATTAAACGAAGGACCGCCGGAAGAATGGATATCGCATATATTATTGCATAGACATAAACAATTCAATCAGATTTGGAAAAGAAGGGGTAGTGGACCTAGAAAACCGTGTCTTGTTATCATCACACGACTCATTCGAGCATTTTGGGCCATAACAGACATGCACTCACAAAAATAGGTTTGAAGTACTTACTCCCCTTGTTTTATATATAACCCCCCAAAACCACATTTTGACGCTTATTCCAACTGACGATACCAACTTTTACGAGCGGTTTGATGAAGAAAATATGGTACAGGTGCAGGCGAGCTTGTGAATCTTGTGAATATAAGCCATGTTGAATTAACCTGATACTTGGGTAGAGAAGAAACCTCAAAACGTTCAAGAGACATAGACAGGACGACGTCTCAAATTCAGCTACCTCGTTTATTTGGTCTACATCCTTATATAGTCTCAATCTCAAGGTCATCACCAACAAAACGAAAGGGCAAAGTCTATACAGTTCAAGCGCCACAGTCTACATCACTCAATAAATGTGGACAAACTTACAGGTCGACGCGATACGGCAACGTCCATTCTCCTTTAAAGCTGAACAATAGGATCTCTCACCCCTTTACTTTAAACACGGTCACCACTTCTGATTCAAAAGACGCCCTGTCCACCTACTACCCCCCAAAAAAGCAACGAAAGGCCCTTCTGTTAAACACACGTCAGAAATCAAAACTGTGCTTTACAGCCATTTTTGACAATCACAATCAAGACTTCCCAATGCACAATTAAAAAATTACATTCCTAGAAACCTTTTTTTAATTGATACCGAATTGTGGCGAAGCCTGGCTAATACAATTTCCTAGAGATTTAGAATCCAGGAGAAAAGCTCACCATTAAAATTTGACAGCTTTGTAAAAAAGAAAATGTCCTTTTCGTATTATTTGTTAAGCTCATTGCATATATTGCTTCCAAATTAATATTTGCGGGCAAGTTTTTTTTTTCTCGTTTGCTCTCTTGGCAACTAAAGCCTAAAAGCTGGTTCATACTGCCCCACTTTCTTACATTAACTTACGTTAAGAAATATTGCGTTGAAGTCACCGGGACCTCTGTGCTTCATATTAAGCCAGTCTACCAGTTCAAGGAGAAAGCATAACAGGCGTCATTCGAGATACGAATGTTTTGGTGACTTATACGTAACGTAACTTAACGTAAGAAAATGGGGCAGTAGGAGTGAGCCTTAACTGAAAACTTTATAAATTTGAAAAAAAACATGAACAATTTCGAAAATCTAATAATGACTGCCTAAAACTTAAAATGCAAAGTTCTAAATGCCAAAAATCCGAAAGTGCATGCGCAACAACGTGGTACCTGAAATTCTTCTTGAAGCTTTTGTTAACTTTTGAAAACAGGATAAAACAGTCAATAGGATATCGAGGTTTCTTCCATCCACGGACATGCACTTTTCTAGTCGTTCGTGCTGATGTTTCTCCACGTTGCCTTTGTCTGATAGCGTCCTTCTACGGTGAGCCACCCATGACCTTCAGTGCTGTATACTGTGACCGGTGTAACTTGTGCCCTCTATAAGAACTAGTCTTCTGTAAGGTAGCGAATTGGGCGAGTTGGTAAGTGTTATACATAATGAAAACCGCTCAAACGACGACAGCTGAGTGAAGACAACAGACACGACCGGACGAAGCTGTTCTCGCAACTAACGTTTTGTAAGTAAAATTAACAAAAAAAAAACAGCATAGCCGACACTGATTACACCAACAAACACATACTATATCAGGCACTGAACAGTCTTGCGAGCTGAAGCGGTTCACTTACCGCTACTCATATTAGCGCGCAAGAACAAACCTCTATCTGACAGAGCTACCGGCGGCGCACTGTCAGCTGTCAATAAATTGTTGTCTTTTTTACCGGTGTCCGATGTTCTGAGTTTATACTTGTGGCTTCATTAATGTACAAAATGGGTGATTACTAATTTCTGAGGAATTAGTAAATTTTCCATGAACTTCAAGAATATTACAAAAAAGAGGGCATAATTTTAATGAATAAACAAATTTGAATTGTGTTAAATTGCCCAGTGCGACGAAGAATCCGCTAAGTTAAAAAAAAATGAAAAAATCGGTGAGCTTTTCTTCGCATCCGCTCAACGGCTGGTGAGCTTATCTCCGCATTTGCCGATTTTGAGGTGAGCTTTTTTCTGGTGAGCTTTTCTGCGGTGAGGTTTTCTCCGCCACCCAGAGAGTTTACCCGCACAGTCTTCCTTACTACACTCTTTACATCGTTCCTCTCTTTGTGTATGTGTTTAGTCTCCAACCAGAGCGGCGTGCAGTTGTTACATTCATGGAGATGTTTCGCGATTTCTGAGTTTTGTGTATTGTTTTCCACATTTCTTTTATGTTCGTTTAATCCTTTATTGAGGCACCGTGACGTCTACCCTACGTACTTAAACCTACACTCCAATGATATTTCATACACAACACCAATCTCTCAACATACCGACTTTTTCCAATGGGCCTTTTAGCACTCACTCACACCTGTTTAAAACGGCGTCAATTTGATAACCTAAAATCTGAACCAAAGATCGTGTCCACTCCGAACTGCCTCGCACAGGCCTTCAAGTTGTGGGCAATCTCATAATAACATGGGATTACAGCAAAGCGGCTCCTTGATTTCTGTTCTGGTTCTCTCCTGCATTTGATAAACTATTATAATTGCAGTTTAATAAAACTCTCATCATATACTACACAGGCCATCCTTTTCAACGGCCTTTCTACCGATTCAGCAATATCATGGACACACGAACTTTCTAACGCGTTCCTGACCAATGACTTTACAGTCCTAGCCTTACGGTCTTCGAATGAATACTCACCCTTACAAAAAAAATATATCTGGCCAGATCTAAAGATTTCAGATATGGCAATATCAAAAATTGGCCTCATATAACCTGATATGGTGTATCTGCCAGATATACCTCAAAATGCCAGATATAGTCTGATATCCCTGGCCTGGTATGAAAATCCCAGATCTGCCTAAATATGTAAATTCCAGATCTGGCCACGCGTATCAAAAGGACACAAGCCTGAAATCAGCACTTTATATATTTTTATTGTCTGCAATTCTCCTAAGTGCCCCGGCCCGCACTCGGGGAATTATTGAAACGGTGATCCTTCAGCTTCCTAGTGATCGCTAGTTTTGACCGATTCCATGGTTACACAGCTTCGATTGTAATTCGAAGTCACCCTGAACAAGCCTCCCATAAGGATCAAGGACCTGTCATATCACTTTTAAAATTTCTCGTCAATGGCAGCGTTTATGATGATGTGCCTGCGATCCACCTTTCAACCTGGCTGAGCCGCAGAAATCTCTTACGATATTATCATTCCCGTGATTGTTGTTTTAGCTGGAATTACTTAAAAGCCGAGAAATCACAGCAACCAAAGCAGGGATTTAGCTCGGATTTTGTGGAGCTGTTTATAGCGTTTTTAGCGTTTCTAACTTAATATCAGCGACTTTCAAGCTGCACGAGAATGATAATAACGTAAGAGATATGTCTGCAGCTCATCCAGGTTGAAAGTTGGACGGAATGCACAGTACGGACATTAGCGAGCCATTTTAAAAGTGATATGACAGGTACTTGGGTTCTATGCGATACTTGTTCAGGGTGACTCCGAATTGCACTCAAAACTGTGTAACCATAAATTGGTCGAAATTTCCGATCACTAGGCAGCTGAAGAAACACCGTCCCCGT